CCGATTGGTCGCTACCGTTGATTGCGTTTTACGTTCGGGGTCAGTTTAGGACCGGAGAAATACCAGCGTATACAACATGAAGCATTGGAAAGATTGCCTGGTGTTATGAACAAGGCCAATGACATTTTAGTCTTTGGGAATGGAGATAGTATTCAGGAGGCGGAGGAGGATCATGATATTAACTTGTGGAACTTAATGTTGCGGTGCCGAGAAGTGAATCTTAAGTTAAACCCCCAAACATTGCAGTTCAAAGTGAGGCAAGTTACCTGGATGGGCCATCTCCTTAGCAGTAATGGCATCACCCAACATCCAGATCGGGTCCGGGCCATTAAGGACATGACCACACCGCAAGATGTAAAAGGGGTTCAGCGGTTGCTGGGCACGTGCAATTATTTGTAACGCTTCACCCCAAACCTTACAGAATAAGAATAAGGTGGCTTAGGGTGAAACAAAATGACTTTAAAACACCATACATTATTTCTTTTTTGGAGAGAATGGGTTTTTTCTTACAAAGAGAAAAATACCGACGTGTAAATTCTGACCAAAAAGACACTGCTAATGGACAATCAACAAAGAGATGTTCGCTGGTTTAATGTTAGAACAAAAAGGACAGTCAGGACTGGATTTTTTTTTTTTTTTTTTTTNTTTTGAACATAACATATTGTGTATGACATTATACTGAAAAACTGCTAGCTTAAATTATTTTATGACAGGAAACGGCAAAGAGTAAATTAAGCGTCTTTTGTCTCTGTCGAAGCAACACGCGGTAAGTCGACTGTCAGTAGTTGGGGAAGGAAGGTTCTTACTTAAAATCAATAAATTGTAGATTGTTTTATAAGACAACCTATCGATATCAGTGGTAGAAGCAGTCGATTCTTGTGAATGAGGAAGCTTTATCACATCTTTCCAATGCTGCGCTATTGCAGACAGCAAACAATAATACTGCAAGAAGTTGCATTTTATTTGCAATTTTCGCTGAAAACCATTGAAAGTAAGAAATTGACACTTATTCTCGTCTAAGAGACAGTACAGCTTTTCAATGCCAGCACGATACCAGTTTTCATAAAACACAGACGACTTATCAACTTTTGTAAACCTGTTTTTCCAGATGATTTGATTCAAAGTATCCATGTTTCGTTGCGGCACAGTAATGTTTAAATTTTGTCAGTCCGAGTTTAGATTCTTGGAAAAATTCGGAAGATCATCATTTACTTTCACATAGTTGATGCCGTAATTGCACCGAAAAAACAATGAAGCACCTACGTTAGAAAGCAAAAAGTTTGGAATTATCGTTCAGGGAGACCCGTCAGGTGAGCAAAGACGCTACACCCACCATAAATTTAACGCCTTATCGAACGTTGTAAAATCTGTCATTTTGAGTCCACCTTCTTCTTTACTTTTCATAATAGTGAATTTCTTAATTTTTGGCTTTTTGTATTGCCATATGTAGTAGGATATAATTTTGTTGACTTTATTTGAAAACGATACTGGAGTTATAAGTGCGCTGCAAACAAGTGTCAGTTTTGAAAGCGCTAAAGTGTTAACTAAGTTGATTCTTCCATAGAGTGTGATATCTCTTGACGACCATATATTAAGAATTTTTTTCCAAAGGACCCAGCTTGTCGAAGAAGTTTTTTTGTTCAGCCTTCTTTTCGTTATACGAGAAATAAACACCGAGCGCAAGAATACGTTCATCACTCAGACTCTTTAGCGTCCTATGAATTACATTCAACAAGGCAGATAAATCGGGAGGTGATCGTTTTCACCGTCTTCAAGACACACTCCATTCATAGGAAGAAAACAGGTTCAAGAACAGCAACCTCATTTGCGACGCCCTAACCACTCTGCCACGCTGCCTCCACAAATCTTAATGGAAACTCAAAAGTAATGCGGGAACAATTGTTGCACATAAATAACTTCCAGAAAGGATGAAGTGTTAAGAGAGTGACTTCCCCAATGAGGCATCATTCCTAAAGCATTCCCTTTCAAGTTATCTTAAGGCCACCTCGGTTTCGCAAATCCCTGGAGGAGGGCCTACAGATAACCGATCCTATAAGGCTGATTACACCTATTTTTATTAAGGCTTTACACCTATTTTTATCTTTCATTCAAACAACCACGCAACGCGCGTGGCAACATTGCGGGCGAAAGAACTGGACGACAGTAGTAAAAATAATTTATGGGGGATTAACTCTATCACACTTCATCCTCTCTTACCAACAGGTATTAAAAATTAAGGGCGCCCGCGGTCAGTTTTGATGGGCGGCGACCCTATTAAAGGAGAAGTATAACAAATATCAGAATGTTTAAATTACTCTCTGGCTGTATAAGGAGAATTCTCAATTGTCAAGCTCCTATAGTACTTGTAGATTTCAACCTCAGTAACCCGGGACTCAGGTTGTTCAAAGAACGGATAACGCTATGTGTTGGATAAATCGCTATGCAGTGGATAAATGTTGTGATTAAAATATAGCTGCAAAGATAATATCTCTATCTTTGAATCGCTGCACGGACTGCCAGCATAGGTACAGTCCTGATTAGCCTAGGGCTTTCCACAAGTTGGTCGGTAGCTTTCAGGCAACTTCTTGTATTTCGAGCAACTTTTTTCGTTTCGAGCAACTTTTTGCATTTTGAGCAATTTCTAGTTTTCTATCCATTCTGAGAAATCGGAGTAGCTTTTAGTGCTTAAATTGGCCTTGCCTCCATATTTCACAATATTTTAGTAGACAATTCATTAATTTGCTGTGAAAAAGAAGCTAGATCCACTCAGATCCCCTCCAACCTCAGGCAGATCATGGGTGCAAGACGCCTGCAGCCGAGTAACTAGGTCAGCGGGTTTTTTTTTTAATAAACCGAAATGGTGGACGAAGATTTACATTCGACTGACTCGAGTGTCTCAGGTGAAGACATTTTACAAGAATAACAGTAATCGTGATGCGTAGTCTTTACTCATACATTTTTTGGGTTTAATTAAGGACAACGTTATTTATCAGCAACGCTGGCTACCCCGTAAAATTGCACAAAATGCTTAGAAA